CATGTCAGAATTACCTTTTGACTCTAAGTTAGTTGTGGTGGAAGGGACAGAAAAAAAAAAAAGGGGAGGTTCTAAGTCTTCCTTATTCTGTCCCAAAAAATAAAACCATAGTTTTGGCTTCAGATGCTTTGTCATGGGAATTGGTCCACTGATGCAACACACAACAATGCTACTACGGTAGTGATTTCATGGGAAGTATTGTCAATAGTGCTGGAGATCCAGGTGAGGGCACCTGCAAGATAACTGGAGAAGCAGATGGTCTGGTGTGGTAGGGCAGAGAGATAAAATGGGCATCTGTGTCCGCAGATACTATATGTAAGTTTCTGATGGATACAGGCTGGCTAGACAGGACCGTATAGGCATTTGCAATGCACACTCTCAGGGCTGTAGTGTAGCACCAAAAGTAGTGCAAAGGAAGTTACAAAGAGCCACCTCCAGTCAGGACAGGGGGTGTAAAGTAAAACTTCTGAACTTCTGTTCATCTTCATCTTTGACACCCATCCTTCCTTTACAATAAGGTCCAGTGTTTAAAAAAAAAAAAAAAAGAAGACTACTCGTCCATTTCAGTGCAACCCACTATGTTCTCTTTAACCATGTGACATTGGGCAACTTTTGGCTTGAATGGTGCCCAGTAGCATTCAACCACTTTCTATACACCCCAAGCATCATTGACCCATGACCTGGGGAAGCATCATCATAGAACTTGGACTCACAGTGGAATGCTCCATGGAATGGCACTCAAATGTCAGAACTTGAGCAATGTCCTATCCAGCAGTGAGGACCACCCATTGCCAACTCTAAAGAAGAAGGGTCCATCTCATCATCATGTGAGTATCGTTCCATATAATCCAATTCACACACATCGTGGTCGTTATCTGTCAAAAAGGTTTTACAAACTGATATCAAGAGGAAATCACAAATGGCCATGTACACGAATCTTAAAGAATTCCAAAACCAAACAAAAATTAAATATATTGCAGCTGTGGTGGCTGCACTGGGGCTTTGTTTAGGCATTTTCCCCCTTTATGTTTAACTGATGACCCTGCTAGTGACACACTTCCTGTCCTAGGGTGACAACGCTCACTTGCTGTACTGTATCTATGGAGAAGTAGTGTCACCCTGTAACGCTGGACTACAGAAGTGGGGGGGGGGATGAGGAAAGCTAACCTGTAATTGTGCTTAAAAATGTTTGGCTATGCTCAGTATTTCCCTGGTTGACTCTACTTGTTTACTGTCATTGCTCCTTAACAGCCAGCTCCTCATAATAATGACATCTTGAAAGTCAATAATAGAAGTTATTTCCACATAGGGATAGCTAAGGATATGCTCAATTCCTGCAGGAGCTTCTGGCTCGACTTAAGTAATGAATCATTAATGTGTTCCTCTTGTGGCCTTCTATTAAGAGAACAGTGACAGACACACATACAACAGGGCCCCGAGATGACTAATGTGATGATATTCCTAATGACGAGGAATCAATGGGCCACTGTGACTCCAGAATCCGCATTTGTGTAATAACACCGCTTGGCGGAGAACAACAAAGGGCCAGTGAATGGTGACCTGGGATCTTGGATCCGCATCACCCCTGAAGGTCTTTTGTTGGATTTGTTTTGCCGAAGGAAAGATTGACCGGCAATCATCCTTGCTGGTGGTGTATCCTCAAATAACAGATCAGCATCCAACATTCCGCAGGAAACTGCATGACAGAATCTGTCGTGTCATCAAATTATATGGGGAATGCGCTAGACAAAAGATAGTATTTGCATGTCGTTTTAAAGTTCATGTAATCCCAAAATATGAATTTCTCTTATTTTCTTCCTTTTGGTCTAGTAAAGCTGAACTCCATTCAGATATAAAAGACACAAATTAACGCAACTCTGTATTCATTAATAGTTCATGAAAGATATAGATACATCCTAGATCCATAGAGTTGTATATACTTTATAAACTTGTGAATTTATGTATACTGTATTTATATACAGAGTAGTGTCTACTGAAAATAGCGCCTATGGCAAGAACTGAGATTACGCTCTTTCCAAAATCTGACGTATATTATCAACTAAAAAATGCTAGTCAAACTCTCCCTAGAGCTTCCCTTTACATCAGAGCCCTCAGAGTCTCCCTTACATCAGAGTCCTCAGAGTCTCCCATACATCAGAGTCTCCCCTACATCAGAGCCCTCAGAGTCTCCCTTACATCAGAGTCCTCAGAGTCTCCCTTACATCAGAGTCCTCAGAGTCTCCCTTACATCAGAGCCCTCAGAGTCTCCCTTACATCAGAGCCCTCAGAGTCTCCCCTACATCAGAGCCCTCAGAGTCTCCCCTACATCAGAGCCCTCAGAGTCCCCTTACATCAGAGTCCCCCTTACATCAGACTCTAAGTGGGGACTCAGATTTAAGGGGGCACTCTGATGTAAGGGGAGACTCTGATGTAAAAGGGGACACAGATGTAAGGGCGATCTCTGGGGACTCTGATATAAGGGGAAACTCTGATGTAATGAGGGACTCTGGGCACTCAGTGCCCTCAATCCCCTGGTTTCTGGTGGTTGGTTGTCCTCTGGGTTGTACTTGCCCCCTGGGCTAAAAGTTGCCAGTCAGCCCCTGGTTGCTAGGTTGCTAGGTTGCCAGGCGGTCCTAGCAACTAACCGGCAGCAACCAGAGGACTGAATAATGACAGCGCAATCTGCTGTCTCTGCCATCTTCGTGGGTCAGCAAACTTTTGCTGACCCACAGAGAGGCGTCCCCCCTTTCAAGTGTGCTATATGCGCCATGCCCTGGATACTTAACTGTATATCTATATATATCTATATCTAGATCTAGATCTAGATATATATTCACACATACATTATATATACTGTATATGTATTTTGTATACATATGAATTGATACTTTCTAATATTAATTGGACCATAATAGGATTTTATACTTTATATATTCTGTACTTATATTCCAATATTTGTATGTCTGCTTTGTAGCCTTTTGTTATCATGGGAACAAATGTCTTTATTAAAACATGTTGGACACTTACTTTTTTTTTTGGCGCTCTCATGACACTGTATATACACTATATAGCCAAATGTATTGGGACACCCCTCCAAATCATTGGATTCAGGGGTTCTGTGAAATGTCTTTGCTACTAAATATTCCACGGTCACCTGTTAGTGTTATTATAACAAAGTGGAGCAACTGGGAACAACAGCAACTCAGCTACTGAAGAGTTGAAGCTGTTATAGCGGCAAAGGGCGGAGCCAACCCAATACTGAACCCTACAGAATAAAACTGGGATGCCAATAAAGCTCATGTGTGTGTAAAGGCTGGCGTCCCAATACTTAGTGTATGTGGAATCTCAATTCCATGCCCCTCTTTTTAGAGGTGTCCCATTTTGCAGAGGGCAGCCTCACTGCAGCCAATGTGCCCTGCCATAATCAGACCAATTTACCGAAAATTTGTATCCATCAGCTCTTCATTAATGTGCCGCCTTGTGCCAGCCATGAACAGGGAGCAGCATTTCATCTTTCTTTATTATAAAATGGTGCACTTGTCCTTCCAGCAGCAGAAAGCAGCAGACATAACCAGAACCTATTCTTAGGTGTTTGTCTTTATTGGCTTGTTAAAAAAAAAAAAAATTCCCCGCGTTGCCTCCAGACAGCTCCTGGTTGCTGCCCTACTTTCACTGAACAGGCGGCGAATTGCATAAGAGTGGCGGAGAAGAGGCATTTCTCACGCAGACGGAGCCGAATCCCGGCAATTAGAAACATGTTGCTGTGTACAGGTTATGGATATAAGTTGACGGTAATTATCACACACACATAATTGGCGTGAAGCGCTGTCACGGCGAGTTGTTCTGGCTAATTTAAACGTGTGTTGGATCCAAAAGGGTTTTTCTGCGCTGCACAGAGGCGTAATAACCAGAATAACCAGTACGACCCGCAGCTGATCCACACAGGTCTCTAGGCAAAGCTCCCTCAAGGTGTCTTAAAGTGGACATGGCATCATATGTATGGTTGCCACTTTTTCTTCAAGCGAAACCCGAACACTCTAGCGAGGCACGGACATTTTTTGGGGGGAGAATGAGCCGTGGCTTATACATATGTAAATAGCACCACCCATTCATATGTAAAGAGTCCGCCCATTCATATGTAAATATCACAGACTGAATGTAAATATTGAGACTATTTTCAGTGGGGGGACAGTAGCCCCTATCTTAATTTTGGTTGCCCCTGTCTGCCCGACATCTTGTGCCTGGGTTTCTGCTGCCATGAAACCCGGACACAGCATTCAAAACCTGGACTGTCCAGGTGAACCCCGGACAGGTGGCAACCCTAATCGTATGTATCAGTGCGGAACATGCATACATACGTCTGCTGTTTTCATTTTGATGCGTTTTACACGCGCTTTTGACGTGTTTTACACAGGGATGGGCATACCAACTGTGCATACGGTCCAGCTGCACAAGGGCCCCCAGGTGCTTAAAGTGACCCTGTCACAACTTAAAAAATTGCACAAAAATATCAAATATTTTATATCCTTGCCATAAATGATTTTTTTATTCACTCCCTTGAAGCTCCTAGACTACTCAGTTCCCTAACACAGCCCCCACTCTGCTTGCATGCCATAGCCCTCTCCTCTCTTCTAATTACATTCTGTGCTTGCCCATCTCCTCCACCCCTCCCCTGATTTCCCTACATATGTAGCTGCCAGAGTTGGAGCAAAGAGGAATACTATAGAGCACAGTTGAACCAAACTTTGTTCCTCCAGGTTTTGTGCAACTTCAAGTCCCAAGACTCTTGACAGCCACGACTTCCAGAGGCAGATGCAAGATGGGATTTGTAGGTCAAGCACAGCTGGAGGGCCAGAGTTTGCCTACCTCTGTTGTATACCATTGATATTATTGTGTACCTGGAAGTTATTTTTTAAGAGCACCGCTGGAGGGCCAGAGTTTAGCTACCCCTGCTATATAGTGCCTGCTGGGGCTGCTGATATAACATGTAGGGTTGCCACCTTTTCTTCAAGCGAAACCCGAACACTCTAGTAGCCCCTATCTTAATTTTGGTTGCCCCTGTCTGCCTAACATCTTGTGTCTGGGTTTCTGCTGCCATGAAACCCGGACACAGCATTCAAAACCCGAACTGTCCGGGTGAATCCTGGACAGGTGGCAACCCACATCCAAGATGGCAACACCCGGTAGCAGCCTCAGGGCTTTTGGATGTCTACACAAGGGAAGATTTACCAGGGAAGTGACAGGCCTAAAATTGGTTAAATGCACATATATAAACTCATGGGAAGATTTTTGTTGAAAAGAATGGTCTGGGAACAGGGTCTCTTTAAGGGGCCTGGACGTGGGTCAGATGGGTGCTGGGACCCCTCCTACTAGGGACCCCCTCCCGCTGACTGGTAGACCTATACCTGGACATAGCTGATTTCTATCTAGCTGATTTTTTTTTACTTTATTAAACCTGACTGTTCATTTAGCTCTATGCACAATGCCATGTTGCTATACGTTATAGCATGTCCCAATGCAATGCAGCATGTCCTACTTTTTTTTTTGTGCACACCGACGCAGTGTGTTGGTGTGAACTGAAGAAACAGGACATAAGACAAACTGCCCTGTCTATGCGTTGGGACTGCATTGGGCAACGCTGCCCGACAGGGCTGATGTGAATGAGCCCTAAGTATTTTTACTTGACCAGTAGTTGAAAGGTGCAGAAGGTACACAGTTGCACATGTAGTGATCCGTGAATGTAAAAGCAATAGGTTAACTTAAAGGGATGAACGAAATTGGGTGGTTTCATGATATTTCATCCACAATTGGGAGATTTGGGCCAAATTTCTCCATTTTGGTGAACTGCTTTGGAGCCAATAGAGGTTTTTGATGTTTTTTAATGGTGCAATGGCCTTTAAATGGCTCCTTTCCGATATCCTGGACCTGTTCCAACAAATAGCCTCTCATTTGCTCAGTTATTTAGGGCCCAGTTACGTGTTTGAAATGCGTTACTATGGGGGTTATTCACAGAGCTGCCGGAGGCAGCCGTGTGAATAACCTAGCCGAAGTGAAGTAAGCCTGAACGCTGTTTGACTATTCACTTCTGACTTGTATGGCTGATTTCAGCCATACAACGGCTAAAATCAGCCGTACATTGGCTGCCTTAGGTCAGCCGAACATGCTCTGCATGTTCGGCTGAGCCGAAGTGCAGCAGGGGTTCAACACAGCCGATCCAACATCTGGATCGGCTGAGCTGAAGTTCCGGCAGCTCACTCGCTGCCGTTCGCACCTATTCACATAGGGGCCGAACAGCAGTAAGTGAATAGCCAAATGCCGCCGAGCGGCATTCGGCTCGGCTATTCTGCTCAGTACCTCCGTGATACCGAGCCAAGTAGCAAATAAGTGAAATGAATAAATAAAAAAATAAAAGTTGAAAAATGATTTTAAAAATGTAAGAAAATAGGAAAATTTAAAAAATTTAAATAGTTAAAAGAAAAAAAAAACAGCAGAAGATGCCAGCAAAGGAAAAACAATTGGGTGGAGCTAGCAGTGACAGCTAGCTCCGCCCAACTGTTTCCTTTTGGCCAGTGTTCTAACTATAGTCCAAACTTAATCGAGTTGTGGGACCGCATGACTTCTGGTTTCCTTAGAACTACGAGGTTTGGGCAAGAAATTAGCTGTGCAAGAGCGCCATCGGCGGCATTGCCCTATACACATAGACCAAAGCAATAAAGTAATAAAATGAAGTCGGATCACAGTAATCAAGCACGTTATTTATCTCCGGTGCCCCACTCAATATGGCCGACGCTTGAGTGGGGCAAGTCAGATTAATAACGTGCTTGATTACTGTGATCCGAGTTCATTTTATTACTTTATTGCTGTGGTCTATGTGTATAGGGCAATGCCGCGGATGGCGCTCGTGCAGAAGAAGTTTTGTGTGCAAACCTCGTAGTTCTAAGGAAACCGGAAGTCATGCGGTCCCAGAACTCGATAAGTTCAAACTTTCGATCGATCACCAGCACCTGCCAGAGCCTTCTAGCAGCTCCCGGCCAATGAATAACAACTGGACGGAGGTGGCCATGGCATCATGGCCGGCTCCGCCCAGTTATTATTGTTTAATGACAGTTCAGCATCTCCAGGTCATTTGGAGACGCTGATCTGTCATTACAACTGGGCGGAGCGAGCTGTTAGATCACGGCTGGCTCCGCCCAGCTGTCATTTGCGTGGAGATCGGTCGGCTTAGGCCGACCTTTCTCCACGCTTCGTCTGTCACTTCGGCTCAGTCGAGCCAAAGCATATGCCTGCGGGTGCTGTACGGGCTATTGTGAATACTGTGAATAGCCCGTACAGCAGCCCTTCGGTTCGACTGAAGGGCAGAGGCGGCCGAAGAAACCTGAAGGATCAGCCGAAGCTACGGCTGGATCCTTCGGCTCTTTAGGGAATAACCCCCTATGTGTTGTGTGTTAATGTGCATTGTGTTAGAGCAGCCCAGTGAAATGAATTGGCTGCCAACAAACCACCTCGAAAAATTGAGTGCCACAATTTAACCCAACGCATGTTTTTGTTGCCATAAAGTGTTGCAGTACCATTCCAAATAAATGGCATTGCAATCCATGTAACGTTCACTGCTACATTCTATGAGATTTCAGTTCGGTGCACAGGAATATGCAAGGACACTGGATTTCTGGCAGGATCAACAGGTATGTTCTGTAGTTGCTGAAAATGTTCTTAGCCTGTAAAAAAAAAGAAAACAAATGCAGCCACTGCATCTAAGGACAGGACGGGTCCATTTTTGTTCTTGGGTTTGGAAAACACTTTTTATTTACAGGGTCTCTCCAATAATAGTAACGCCAATGATAATAATAGACCAATCATATTCCGACTGTCATTTTTGCAGCACCTGATTGGTTGCTGTGAGACATCACTCCTTTCTTACAAAAGCAGCCTCACACGCCGCAGCTTTCCCTACACTTTCCACCCATCGCTTCTAAACATTAGTCACAAGCCGTGCTCTCCCATCCTATAATTACCCGTAACATGTTGTGACATTATGCAGAGATGTGCTCGGTGCCTATTGTACGACAATCAGCGGCAGTACATCACTCTGACATATAATTATAGAGTCGGCGGTGGGAAGAGATTCTCATTTCCGAGTCACTTCGGGCTGCAGCTCCGCAGACGGCCGTACTCGGCACCGGAGAGGCCTCCGTAATAATTACACTGTGACTAGGCATGGGGCACGCTATTTTCATTTTACAAGGTCAGCGCGGTGCAGATGCAAATGACGGAAAGGCTCCACGGTTTATGTTGCGTAAAAAGAGGTCAGAAGGTTTTACTTAAAAGGGGGACTCCACCCAGAAATAAAATTACTACATGCCTATCTTGTAGCCAAATGTCCTCTTTGCTTGACTTACAGCTTGTGTGTTACACTGTTATTATTGAATAGCGGTATTATTGTTTGTTTTTCAGACCGTCTTCTTGGAGTTAAATGGCTTGGTTGTTTCACACTCTTGTTTTCCTGTGCTACCCCTTTAACAGCGATCTCTAGAAGTCTCATGCAACTGTTGTCAAGTCTATGACGGTCTCCTGAAACATGTCTGTAATATATGACCATCTCATGTAGCATGTCCTCAGCCTTTGAACATGTCCTGTAGCATGTCTCCAGTCTCTGTCCATCTCCTGTAGCGTGTCTCCAGTCTCTGTCCATCTCCTGTAGCGTGTCTCCAGTCTCTGTCCATCTCCTGTAGCGTGTCTCCAGTCTCTGTCCATCTCCTGTAGCGTGTCTCCAGTCTCTGTCCATCTCCTGTAGCGTGTCTCCAGTCTCTGTCCATCTCCTGTAGCGTGTCTCCAGTCTCTGTCCATCTCCTGTAGCGTGTCTCCAGTCTCTGTCCATCTCCTGTAGCGTGTCTCCAGTCTTTGACCATCTCCTGTAGGATGTCCATAGTTTTTGATGATTTTCTGTAGTGTGTCCATCTCTGACCATCTCTTAAAACATGTCCATAATCTCTGATCACCTCCTAAAGCTTACCTGTAGTCTTTGATACCGTCTTCTGTACTGTACCTGTAGTCTTTGACCATCTCCTGTAGAAGTCTGCAGTCTCTGATTATCTGTTGAAGCATGCCAACCTTCTGCAGTCTCCGACAGCTGACCGGCAGGTACAGCTCCGTGCTGCGTGCATGGCAGTATGGGGCAGCTACCTGGAAGGTACTAATCACACGCAGTCCCTATCCTTCTCTATGGGAGTATGCGGGCAGTACGCCGCCCTACGCTCACCCGCCCTGCGGGTGTCCGCACTCGTACGCTGACAGGATGGATCCCATCTGCGCCTGAACCGGGACACCCGCACGAAACTGCATTTGAGGTGAGCGTAGGGCATCGTACGGCCGCGTATTCCCATAGAGGACAGGGGCTGCGTACTAATCACATGCATCACCTGTCCTTCCCAGGAGCTGCCCTATACGGCCGTGCACGCAGCACAGAGCTGTACGTGGCGGCCTTTTCTCATGTGAATGAGGTCTAAAAGCTCGTGTACTGTTTCAAGCTACACATCACTCAGGTGTGAATGGGCACCATTGAAAACAATAGGATTCTTCACATTTGAGTGCTGACGCATTTCGGGAGACACAAAACAAAATGCTCAGCTGTGAATGCGGATAACCTAGTTGCGACAGTGGCCGCATCACCCAGCTGTCAGACTATGTTGTTTTTTTTTTTAGCTGGAAGACTTATGACACGCTCCAGAAGGAGCCTGCAGGTCAGGAAACACCTGGCTTCCTTACACCAGCGCTGGACTCCTGGAGCGGAGCGAACGGCCATTGTTTACACGCTTACAGAGTTCCTTCTGCTAACCGCTGGATTTCTCAACACCGGCTTCCTGGACTCTGCTTGTTTAGCTCTTATTATATATCAGATTGCTCGCATTTTTATATGATGCAAGAGACAAGAAGCAGATGTTACCGACACGCAGTGCTAAGTCTGCGCCATTTATCTTCTTGAAGGCCTTATCTTGTGATCGGACTATATTTAGACGTTTTGCGCCCAGAACACCAAAAAAAAAGAAGACTCTTTTGGCAGAACTTTGTTGTTCGTCAACAACGCACAATGCATTCCGCACCTGGATTCATTAATTTATCATGTCCTTGTTCCCAGGGATGTGGCCAGAATTGGCGTTTGTACCAGGGAATGTGGAAGAATATCTGGGGGCTCTACACACAGAATATCTGGGGGCTGTACACACGAGAACAAAGAGTGCAAAAGCTAAAACTGAACTGAAAACGGATAAATACGCAGATGAAATACATGTGTGAGAGTCATCTTGCCTGCCAAAGGATTTGTATTTCTGTCCACCCGGTCCTGAGATACACACAGCTCTGCCACACAACACAGCTCTTTCCTGGCATGGGAGGGGACCTGTCGCAGTTTTTTATTCTACCAACAGGTCTGCTCCCCAACTACACCCCATGAGTGGACAGTGAAAGGAGAAGCAGTACAAGGATGAGCTCATCAGTCTGCTTTCTCCTACTATCAGCATGGTCACTGCACTGCAGAACACCTCATTGGCTCCTTGTGCTGCTTCTCCCTCCCTTTCTTTCTTTTGCACAGTAGACAGCAAGAGACTGATACCAGGTCACATTCAGGTACTTGCACTGCTTATGATTAAGGACTACGGAGCTGCATTCATTTTGTCTTTCATATCTGCCTGGAGCAGAGCCGTAACTACAAATCACGGGGCCCATAGCAAAAATGTGATGGGGCCCCCTGATGACCTCTCCCTGAGCTGTGAGTGATGCTGGCAAGATACCAAAGACTCCTCTTGTGCATCTGAAGTCATCTCCACACTGTAGACTTCAACCCTTACTGTATTATCTTTACATGTTCTATGTTTAATTTGCCTCAACAACCTAATGGGGCCCCCTCCCACCCTCAGGCCCCATAGCAGCTGCCTGAGCTGCTGTGGACATAGATACGCCACTGGGCTGGAGTTTAGCTTTACCAGTGTTTATGTTCTATGTTTAATGTGCTTCATCAACCTAATGGGGCCCCTTTCACTCCCAGGCCCCATAGCAGCCATCTGGGCTACTATGGTTATAGTTAAGCCACTGGCCTGGAGTTTAGCTTTACCAGTGTAGCCCCCATCACCTTTTGTGAGGTGGCTACTAGACATTTAGTGATTGCCAGGGCTGTTTTATAGTGGCTATAGTAGCCTGGCTGGATTATAGTGGCATGTATCTGGTTAATTCCAGGTGTCTGGCATTGATTGTACCCCCCTGATTGGAGTGTGACTCTGCTGTATTGTGGGACTGGCAATGAGAGGCATTGTGAGTGTGTGTCCAGTACGGCAGCCAATCACTGGATTTTTCTCAATCAGTGGTGCATGCTGGGATAGGGTACATACACTGGAGGGAATTGCCATGTGCTCAGACTAGTTGGGACCAGCCATGGAATAGGGCTGAATGCTGTCCAGCCACCCCCCAGGCTAGGCCTGGGGGTGGGCAGAGGCTGGAGTGTGGGAAGAGTTTCCCTAGGCCTCCAGTATGGAGGAGGCCTGTGCGGTTTGCCAAAGAAGGAGAAGCTGATGTCTGCTGGAGGTGTGCGGAACACAGAGGACCTCTGGAGCATGGCTAGTGTCTCTCCTGCTGAGGATCTGTGCTCATCTCCTGCTCATCTGTTACTCCAATTACTATTCGCTGTATCACAAGTGGATCTACATTGAGATGCTAACATGGTCTGGTGAGTCTGGAGTCTATGTCTGTTACACCCGGGATGTCTAGGATCCCTACACCGTCTCTCCCCAGTTTGTCTCCAGTCTCTGTCCATCTCCTGTAGCGTGTCTCCAGTCTCTGTCCATCTCCTGTAGCGTGTCTCCAGTCTCTGTCCATCTCCTGTAGCGTGTCTCCAGTCTCTGTCCATCTCCTGTAGCGTGTCTCCAGTCTCTGTCCATCTCCTGTAGCGTGTCTCCAGTCTCTGTCCATCTCCTGTAGCGTGTCTCCAGTCTCTGTCCATCTCCTGTAGCGTGTCTCCAGTCTCTGTCCATCTCCTGTAGCGTGTCTCCAGTCTCTGTCCATCTCCTGTAGCGTGTCTCCAGTCTCTGTCCATCTCCTGTAGCGTGTCTCCAGTCTCTGTCCATCTCCTGTAGCGTGTCTCCAGTCTCTGTCCATCTCCTGTAGCGTGTCTCCAGTCTCTGTCCATCTCCTGTAGCGTGTCTCCAGTCTCTGTCCATCTCCTGTAGCGTGTCTCCAGTCTTTGACCATCTCCTGTAGGATGTCCATAGTTTTTGATGATTTTCTGTAGTGTGTCCATCTCTGACCATCTCTTAAAACATGTCCATAATCTCTGATCACCTCCTAAAGCTTACCTGTAGTCTTTGATACCGTCTTCTGTACTGTACCTGTAGTCTTTGACCATCTCCTGTAGAAGTCTGCAGTCTCTGATTATCTGTTGAAGCATGCCAACCTTCTGCAGTCTCCGACAGCTGACCGGCAGGTACAGCTCCGTGCTGCGTGCATGGCAGTATGGGGCAGCTACCTGGAAGGTACTAATCACACGCAGTCCCTATCCTTCTCTATGGGAGTATGCGGGCAGTACGCCGCCCTACGCTCACCCGCCCTGCGGGTGTCCGCACTCGTACGCTGACAGGATGGATCCCATCTGCGCCTGAACCGGGACACCCGCACGAAACTGCATTTGAGGTGAGCGTAGGGCATCGTACGGCCGCGTATTCCCATAGAGGACAGGGGCTGCGTACTAATCACATGCATCACCTGTCCTTCCCAGGAGCTGCCCTATACGGCCGTGCACGCAGCACAGAGCTGTACGTGGCGGCCTTTTCTCATGTGAATGAGGTCTAAAAGCTCGTGTACTGTTTCAAGCTACACATCACTCAGGTGTGAATGGGCACCATTGAAAACAATAGGATTCTTCACATTTGAGTGCTGACGCATTTCGGGAGACACAAAACAAAATGCTCAGCTGTGAATGCGGATAACCTAGTTGCGACAGTGGCCGCATCACCCAGCTGTCAGACTATGTTGTTTTTTTTTTTAGCTGGAAGACTTATGACACGCTCCAGAAGGAGCCTGCAGGTCAGGAAACACCTGGCTTCCTTACACCAGCGCTGGACTCCTGGAGCGGAGCGAACGGCCATTGTTTACACGCTTACAGAGTTCCTTCTGCTAACCGCTGGATTTCTCAACACCGGCTTCCTGGACTCTGCTTGTTTAGCTCTTATTATATATCAGATTGCTCGCATTTTTATATGATGCAAGAGACAAGAAGCAGATGTTACCGACACGCAGTGCTAAGTCTGCGCCATTTATCTTCTTGAAGGCCTTATCTTGTGATCGGACTATATTTAGACGTTTTGCGCCCAGAACACCAAAAAAAAAAGAAGACTCTTTTGGCAGAACTTTGTTGTTCGTCAACAACGCACAATGCATTCCGCACCTGGATTCATTAATTTATCACGTCCTTGTTCCCAGGGATGTGGCCAGAATTGGCGTTTGTACCAGGGAATGTGGAAGAATATCTGGGGGCTCTACACACAGAATATCTGGGGGCTGTACACACGAGAACAAAGAGTGCAAAAGCTAAAACTGAACTGAAAACGGATAAATACGCAGATGAAATACATGTGTGAGAGTCATCTTGCCTGCCAAAGGATTTGTATTTCTGTCCACCCGGTCCTGAGATACACACAGCTCTGCCACACAACACTGCTCTTTCCTGGCATGGGAGGGGACCTGTCGCAGTTTTTTATTCTACCAACAGGTCTGCTCCCCAACTACACCCCATGAGTGGACAGTGAAAGGAGAAGCAGTACAAGGATGAGCTCATCAGTCTGCTTTCTCCTACTATCAGCATGGTCACTGCACTGCAGAACACCTCATTGGCTCCTTGTGCTGCTTCTCCCTCCCTTTCTTTCTTTTGCACAGTAGACAGCAAGAGACTGATACCAGGTCACATTCAGGTACTTGCACTGCTTATGATTAAGGACTACGGAGCTGCATTCATTTTGTCTTTCATATCTGCCTGGAGCAGAGCCGTAACTACAAATCACGGGGCCCATAGCAAAAATGTGATGGGGCCCCCTGATGACCTCTCCCTGAGCTGTGAGTGATGCTGGCAAGATACCAAAGACTCCTCTTGTGCATCTGAAGTCATCTCCACACTGTAGACTTCAACCCTTACTGTATTATCTTTACATGTTCTATGTTTAATTTGCCTCAACAACCTAATGGGGCCCCCTCCCACCCTCAGGCCCCATAGCAGCTGCCTGAGCTGCTGTGGACATAGATACGCCACTGGGCTGGAGTTTAGCTTTACCAGTGTTTATGTTCTATGTTTAATGTGCTTTATCAACCTAATGGGGCCCCTTTCACTCCCAGGCCCCATAGCAGCCATCTGGGCTACTATGGTTATAGTTAAGCCACTGGCCTGGAGTTTAGCTTTACCAGTGTAGCCCCCATCACCTTTTGTGAGGTGGCTACTAGACATTTAGTGATTGCCAGGGCTGTTTTATAGTGGCTATAGTAGCCTGGCTGGATTATAGTGGCATGTATCTGGTTAATTCCAGGTGTCTGGCATTGATTGTACCCCCCTGATTGGAGTGTGACTCTGCTGTATTGTGGGACTGGCAATGAGAGGCATTGTGAGTGTGTGTCCAGTACGGCAGCCAATCACTGGATTTTTCTCAATCAGTGGTGCATGCTGGGATAGGGTACATACACTGGAGGGAATTGCCATGTGCTCAGACTAGTTGGGACCAGCCATGGAATAGGGCTGAATGCTGTCCAGCCACCCCCCAGGCTAGGCCTGGGGGTGGGCAGAGGCTGGAGTGTGGGAAGAGTTTCCCTAGGCCTCCAGTATGGAGGAGGCCTGTGCGGTTTGCCAAAGAAGGAGAAGCTGATGTCTGCTGGAGGTGTGCGGAACACAGAGGACCTCTGGAGCATGGCTAGTGTCTCTCCTGCTGAGGATCTGTGCTCATCTCCTGCTCATCTGTTACTCCAATTACTATTCGCTGTATCACAAGTGGATCTACATTGAGATGCTAACATGGTCTGGTGAGTCTGGAGTCTATGTCTGTTACACCCGGGATGTCTAGGATCCCTACACCGTCTCTCCCCAGTGTGAAGCTGTTAATAAAAGTTATTCAGCATTGCATTACTGGAGTGGATATCAGCTTTGTGGGCACCAGAAGAGGGCGGTTAAATGCTAATAGGACAGCTGAAGACCTAATCCCCTAGACAACTAGTGATGACCTGGGTTATTCTGGCAGCTCCTTAGGGGGTGAGCGCTACACCAGTTTTTTTAATTTGGGTGGCTGCAGGGGGGTGAGGGTAAACGGGAAAGGCATTAGGTTTTTTGTTTTTGTTTGCACTTACAGAACACGCATCCTATGGTAGAAAACACTTCCAATGGTGTATTTAACAGACCAAAAGGAAGCAAATAAGAGAATTGTCAGGTTTATCTACAGATAACGGTGCATTGAAACCGGCGGTCAAGATCTCTGTTGGCAGGAATCAGGCATTCTTGTGACTGGGAAACCTCAGCCCTATGCACACTTGGGGGTGATATATAAATGTTCTTCCCAGTGTATAGCTGGGTGAACGCCGTTCATACAAAATT